TTTGATAAGTTTTACCATCTTCCTAATTGTAGTTTTGAAATACTTGGTTATCACTTTCCACTTGTTTACACTTTTTAGACTGTTTTATTTTTATAACAATAGTGGTTGTCTCCTGCTGCTCTTTTCTCATTAATTTGTTTTGAATATGGCTACATTTTCCTTCATTGGCTACTTTCAGATGCAGGAGCAAGCCAATTTTTCATTACATATTGAGGAAAATGACTTAGGTTAAGAATTTTGCATTCACATTATTATACTTTTTACTCTTCCATAGGAAAGGGCTACAGGTATATGTGGAAGTTTTTCAAATAATAAAATCTACTTTTCTCCACTCTAAGCATAGCCACCCACAAATTACTCAATAAACCTGACTTCCTGTGCTTCTCAGAACCATTACTATACAGGAAACTTCAGTCCACCCATTCAGACACACTTTTCCTGCTGGTCTAAACTATTTGTTTCTACAACCAAGGATATGCCCATCACCTTTGAAAAAGCTCTTTTTTATTTTTGACTCCTAAAATCCACTTGTCTTCCCCTATTTTTTTTTTATTTTTTAATTTTTTTCCTTTTCTGTCTTTTTACTGACCGGTAAAGGGATCGCAACCCTCGGTGTCACACCCATACCGGGGACCGGCAATGGGATCGCAACCCTCAGTGCTGCGCCCGCAACACGCTCAGCCAGTGAGCGGGAACCAGTCTCCACATGGGATCTGAACCCTCAGCGGGAGCGCCACAACACTCCCAAGCGGCGCACTCTCCAGTGCGCCACCGGGCCGGCTCTGTCTTCCCAAATTCTGAAATAAGCACTTCTACTTGATAATTAATTGCTCATAAAAGCTTTAGCAGTATGCACTAGAGTTTTGAATGATGTACTCTCATAAAAAAATGGAGTCTCCTGTACACCTCTCATTTTTTTTGTTGTTTTAAAATGATTTTTAGAAAAAGAAGAGGAAAATACTATCTTCAAATTCCACTTCAAAACGGCAATCTTAGCTTCTCAACTTGAAACCCATGGTTTATTTGCCCCTGGCACCCACAGTCTCCTGGTTCCTCTCTAAAATACAGAATTATCTTTTTCCATGCCCCTATGCTAGGTCCTCCTCAGCTACAGAATTTCTGATATGGTGGTATACAGGGCTCACAGGTGAACCTTCTTTTCCTAAGTGATACCCTGCACTACTTTGGGATTCTGCCAAGAATCCGCATCAGAAACAAGGGCCTCACACCATGCAGCCCCTTGACCTTGGAATGCCCAAGGTCCAGAGCAGAACTGTAAAAGATACTTTGTTTCTTTATAAATTACCAAGTGTCAGATAGTCGGTTTTAAGAAACACAAAAGGATAGAGTCTGAAAAACCATATCTATGAGAGTAAGGACACAAAGGCAACTGACAATATTGAAAAAGTGACCAGCAAAAATAAACGTCAAACGTGAGAAATGTAGAGGTTATAATTTAAGAAAATGTATTTTTAAAATAGCGCAGTAAAATATGGAGATATGTATACGTGAGTCCATCTAAAAGATTATATATTTATTTGAT